CTTCAATATTAGTTGCTTCTATATTTGATGGCCGTGCTGGTGGCAGGGGGGTTGGAGACTCATGATCCTTGAGGTCTCTTCCAACCTGGGCTATTCTGTGGTTCTGTGATGTAATGCAAGTATTTATCTGTATACTGTACTGACGATGAATTAAAAGATTATTTGCTCTGTGTAAACATATGTGTTCCTATGTTTTCCTTCCTTTACTCTTTTCCCATTTTTTTTCTTCCCAAGCGCATCAAAATATTTGGAAAATACACTGATAAAATTGTTGCATGTTTATGAGCCATACAAATTTCATTACCAAGGATCACGTCTTGTACTGAGATCTAAATGTGTTTCTTTTTCACACACACACACACACACACACAAAATTTGTTTACTAGAAAGGTAAAGTTTGGCTAATGAAGTTTAGATTTAGAGATCTAAAGTAATATTTTAATCAAAATAAAAGCAGTTCTTATGGTAATAATTTTATATTATTTTGAAGTGGCTTTAGAATGATTCAAGCTTGATTAAAAAAAAAAGTTTATTTTCTGGATATAGATCGGTTAAGCATTTTTGAGACTTTATCATTACTTGACTTTAGAAAACTGAGAAATTTTTTCTTATGAAGCTCAATATGTTAAGATAGCAACTCAGCATCACAGTATGTACCTGGACAACAAGAGTTTTCTGCTACTCAATATGTTCTCAGTTTGCAGCTTGATCTTATTAGCATATACAAAGATGTCCTTCTTATCTCAAATAATGTTCATCACTCCACTTTAAAGAGGACTCTGATGTCTTTCTATTTATACATTTCTCCTGTCTTGCACCTCAACAGGTGAAGTTGACAAGAAATTCTGAGTGTGATTAAGTAATTTTATTCAACTACTGACTTGTGACACATTCTCTGTGTAGAAAAGCCAAATAAAAGAATAATAAAAATAGGCAAACTGAGCACCCTTGCCCCAGAAAGCAGGTATGTCTCATATATATTGCACAGAACAGTTTCTTACCAGACTCTGCTGGATGTATAACTGCATCTGAAACAGAGAATGTAAGTATATTTTCTCAGAATATAAAGGGCTAGTGGAGCTGTCTTATGACTGCTCTGAACATTTAACTTACAGTTCCCAGAATATGAGGAAAGGACTGTATTTGTGTTTTCATTCTAGTTTTCTCTTGCTTCACAATCAAACTGGCAATCTCAAAATAATTTAAATAATAATTTACAACAAAAGCAAGTGAACAAAAAAACATACACCTCAACCCTATTAAAAAAAAAAGTAAGAAGTTAATTCTCCCTGCTCTTGAGATTAAGGTGAGATTCACTTTCTGTGAGACAGATGGTCTTGCTATGTACTCACAGTATTATCAGGGATATGGTTTAGTTGAGTTAGTTACTGGTGGTATTTCATGGAAGATTTCTGTTTTGTAATTTTTGTACTCTGTAGTCTTCTTATGCTCATTTGACTTATTTCCTTACACTTTTTTCCCTTTGTAACTATTTCCTGTCTTTCTCTTAATTCATTAACCCAATGTTACTGCAAAATTTCCTGAAATTATATTATCTTCAATCTGCTTAATACATTTTGGGTGGTCCAAGCAAAAACTATTTTGTTAAAAGATAGTTTATATGTACGTATATAAATTGAGCCTTTATTTCATTGAGTCTTTATTAAGCACTAATCAAACTGACTCTGCAACTAGATCATAAAGAATGTACTAACTCAAATTAGTACAGTACCCAAACTAAATAGGCTTGTGACAAGCAAAATTTACAAGCATGAGTCCAAGCTATGATGATCATATTGATTTTCTGAAGCTAAAATGGTCTGTAAAATTCCTTTACAGATACCAAATCATAGTTTTACGCTCCATTTCAGTAGCTAGTGTTCTATGGTATTCATCAGTCTGCCTCTTTGTAGAATATTGGTTTTTTCTGTTGTTTGATTGTGTGAATTTTTCCTGGACAGAGGAGCTTCTTTTTACTGTGTCCCAGGTTTCTGCATATGATTTGAGTAGTTACTAGGACATTGAACAGAAGTGTGAGGATTAGATTAAATATAGATCTTGGGAGATAGATATTGGGGGTTTTTTGAAGTCTTCAGCCACTTCTGAAAGTGATATTGTTTTTTATTCAGGAATTCACATAAAGAGGTTGAAGTATATAATCTTGTATTTCTTCCCAAATACAAAGATACAAAGTACAAAATTGTTTCCTGAATGTCCATGTCCATGGCTTTTTTTTTTTTTTTTTTTTTTTTTTTTGACTCCCCTTATATATCAGGAGGTCTAAGTAGTCCTGCTGAATTATGGCAGGAATCCAGTAGAGATGCTGAATTTTACAAGACCCAGGTGGCGTGATGACAGATGAATTGCAACAGCAGCTTGAGGGTATATTAAACATGATGAGAGGGTGGGTGAGGGATGAGAGTCTCTGTGGATTTGTACATCCTTCATCTGTTTCCTTAAGCTTTCCAAGAGTAAAATTCATTAGGGAGATTAAATGCAAGTCCAAATGTCTGATGTGACAAGAGAGTGCAGCTGGATTTCTTCCCATTTGCCCTGCTTTGATACCTCAGTATTAAATTGATTAGGTCATAGGACTTGTTTAAAACTCCAGCTTGGGCACAGGACATTTGGTACTGACAAATCAAGACAGCCTTCAGATAGAATTCAAACAGAAGATCAGTGTGAACCTGCTGAAGTACCATTTACAAAGCTGTACCAAAATTTTTAAGAGTATTGTTTTAAATAATCTAAGTAGCACGTGCTAGAACATTCTGTTTTTAACCTGCTTGAAGCAAAATTGTGGTATCTGATTCTGCGTAGGACCTTTGAAAATGATTTCACACTTAATTCTAATTAGTGGATTGCAAGTAAACAAATAGGTAAACTCTGTTAGGTATTCTTCTCTTATATTTAATTCCACATGCACCCCAACCTAAATATAATCCGTAAGGTTACTAAATTTTAGGGAAATACTTTGATTAAGAGATAGATGCAATATCTATCTTGAAAATCTTAGGGTGAGATCAATCTCTTAATTTCTACAAAGTATTTTATAAGACCATATTCTGTTTATGCAAAAGTAAACAAACAAACAAACAAAAACCCACCTTATTCCAGTTTTGTCCATCTGATGTTTTCAAAGGATTGATAATGGAATGCACTGAGCTTGACTGAGAGCATAAGATCTTTCTCTTAATTGTACTTTACATGGATCTTTAACAATTTACTGTATCTTTGAAGCAGGATGGTTTTCTGGAGATAAAATTGCTTTTCATGTCTGTTCAGCGTTAAGAAATTAAATATATACACTTTATTGTATGAGAATAAATATTATGTATAGATACTCATGGCTTTTAGGCAAGAATAATTGTAGATAAAATTCATGGAAGGTCACTGACCACTTCAGGTGTAAAACATTGAAACTGAATTGTTTCTTAGATTATTGGTTCTTTCTCATTTTCATATATTAGTGGTGAAGATTAATTTGACTCAGTCTTAATATATTTCCAGCCACAGGAGAACTGAATAAACCACCTTCTGAGATCATCAGTGGGACCATTGAAGAGGATGTCTTAAATTATAAGTTCTACCTGCAGAACTAAAATCAAAAGCTTGTAATGATGTGAGATTCTGAGGTCTTATTAAAGCAAAGTAAACTGGAAAGAGGAGACTGAAGACATTAACCTGTGTGCCAGGGGAACCACGACCACTGTGAACTTAAAAAGACACTATTTTCGTTCATGTATTACTGGCACGTACTTAATAAGTTATAGTGTCAGGTGAGAAAACCAGCTCAGCTTTGCAGACTTTGTAGCTCCACTGTTACAGAGACATAGACTATTTATCATTTTTTTGAAGTTACATTGAGGGAGGAAGATGTGTCAGAAGACAGCCTCAGCCTTATTTTATTCAATTTTTTTCACAATTAACATGCTGTCTGGAGCAGCTAGCAGGGTGAACTGATTAGATACTTGCTATTTCAGAACTAGGATGTGGCAGTGTTTTATGTGATACGCTCTTGGCTAGGGATGGTTAAAGGTCCCCTGTAACAGACCATTTCCAAGTTCTAATTTAGATTTTTGCTATTTCTAATTTAGTTTTTAGCTATTTCTTTTAGTCAGGAGCCATCATTTGAAATACGGAGTATTCAAAGAAGGAATGGAAAACTGACATCGATAAACTTTCTGAATTCGGAAAGAAGGATTTCTAGATGTGTGTGGAGAACATGGAGTAAGAAGATTGACTTCTGATGAACTAATTAGTAGTTTGCATCATGAAAATATGAGAGCTGCTCTAAAAGTAATGTCTCCTATTTTATTATGTTGGCCTACAGTGTCAGAGCCTGATGTTGGTGGTATAGCAGTAGAGGTTAAACCTTCTCACTGATATTCCATTATATTTTATTTCTGTATGACAGATGGCAGCTGAGCAGCAGTCTGACAAAATGGCATCTGACATGGAAGGAAGGATGAAGCAAAGGTGTGTCATTAAATTTCTACACGTGGAAAAAATTGCACTCATTGACATACATCAAAGCTTGCTCAGTATTTATGGAGACCTGACTGTGGATGCAAGCCTAGTGAGATGCTGGTCGTGTGTTTCAGCAGTAGCAATAGTGACAGTGGGTCACCTTGCTGGTGAAGATTTTTACATGTGGCATGCAGGACCTTGTTCACTGCTGGCAAAAATACATAGCTAAGGTTGATAACAATGTTGAAAAATATTTTGTAGTTGTAGTTGAAAACTTGCTCAATAAAACAGTATTATCGTGCTCTTTGTATTTGTTGTAATTTCCCTGGAAGTAAATACGCGGCATTACTTTTGGAGCAAGCTACATATATACCAATTAGCTTCAAGTTGGATTAGCATGCTCTCCTAATGATACCAGTAAATGTAAATCTTCTCTTGTTTCACATGACACTTTAAATTCAGACAGCAGATGCATCTGCACCTGTACAGTTATGCATCTCGTGAATTGAACATTATTTTGGGTGATGTCTATTTGGTATTTCTAAAAGTGTCTGTAGCACTGTTAACACTAACTATGCTAGTTATAGAATCACAGAATAGTTGCTACACTTGATCTTAGCCAAAAGGCTGAGAAGTGAAGTCAGTTAGCTCAGTACACAGAACTCATATATTCAAAGGAATTTCCTCTGAGATATTTTGAAATTATGATTTGTGAATAGAATAGCAGTTTTTCTGTGTCTTGTTCAGTTGGCAAGCCTAAAGGAAGCCACCTTACCTCCAGTATAGAAACCTCACCATCTCTGGAAAAGAGCATACCATTTGTGCAGAGACAATGAACTTATTTGAATATGAGTATTTTGTCATAATGAAGTCCTTTCCTTTTCATGTTTTAGAACTTTTTTCTTTTTTTTTTTTTTTTTTTTTTTTTTTTTTTTCAGATTGCTGGCAGCTGTAAACCTGTTCTTGTTATCTTACTTGGAAAATGGACAGATAGATACAGCCCGGAGTGACAGTAAGATTTTATTCAATTGTTGAAGATTTTGAATGTTTTTTTTCAGTGTCAAAATTGTATTGTAATTAGGCAATTAAATTAGTTTCTTTACTAGGTCTCCATAACTTCTGAAAGAGGTTGTTAGGCTTAAACTCATAAACCACTTATGTGATAATTTAAAGCAAAATGATGTTTCACATAATTTCTGGTTCTAGAAGAGTCTTCAAAGGAGCTTTAAGCAAGGAGTGTTTTGCTTTCCAGTTACCTGCATTCTACATGACTGCATCTAGTGTCACATTAATCTACTAGATACATATAAATCACATCCTATGCAAGTATGCAAGCATCCTATGCATCCTATGCCAGCGGAGTTTAAACACCCATGGACTATACAACCTGTTGTCATGGTTTTATGGTGGTTTTTTTGTTTGTTTGTTTGGTTGGTTGGTTGGTTTTCAGTATTCTGCATCAAAACATCATGTAGTGCACTGGAAGTTAAAGTGTTAATGCTCCAATTCCAGGTAACTATCCCTATACATTACAGAAGGCATAGGATCTGGCCCTTTCAGTTTGGGCGCTCTCTTACTGCCTGGCAGTGGGTGATGGAGAGTGCTTTCCTAGCCATTCCAAGCTTTTCAGGTTTGAGTAGGTCTCAGGAACTCTCTCCTATCTTATTTGATTTATTAGTCTCAATTTCAATTAGGTTGTATTATATTGTGTCATCTTGCATTCCGATATCATAGTTAGTAAAATAAGTTTTCCTCCATAGATTGTTGCCGCTGTTTTCTTTCTCCCTTCCTTCCTTCCTTCCCATTCTGTGGGGCTGGAGGGGGTGGGGGAGGGGGAGAGGGCAGGGGCCTACTGCCCCCCCATCACGAGCATAGATTGAACTAGTCAGCTCCATGACACTTGTATATGTAGAATTCAGAATATGACAGTGCTGCCTTTGGACTGAATAAATTAAATGAAATTAAAGTCTTTTTCTCGAGACAGTATTCGTATTTTATTTTGGTCTTTTAATGATCAATTTAATTTTAATTAAAATAAACAGGAGACCCCACAGAAAAAAAAAAAAAAAGAAAAAAAGAAAAAAAAAAAAAGTTAATTGAATCAGAGATTCAAGAGCTTTAAATTTCATCTGACAAATTGTGAAGATAAACTATGTCCAACATTCTACTGCCCAAGACTTAATAATGAGCTGTTCTAGGGTTTCCTTTGCATCAGAAGTCAGATTTCTTTTGCTCTGTAGCAGACACCTGTTGGTAGTTATCACCAGTGTTTCATTCCAGTATCTGCAAGTGCTGTATCTCCTGCCATGCAATGAATGCAGCTAATTGAACTAACAATAAAAAATATCTTTGTATGACATATATTTTCCATTTGAATTGCCACAGCTAAAGGACTTGTATGATTAAACTACAAATCTGAGCAGCATTCCCTTTTTACTGTGTATTTTTGTTGATTAAAAGTGTCTTATTTTATATTTTGAATAAACATGTTTTTTAAGTAAACATAGATTTTGCTCTAAAGTGACACTGATATGTTTCTAGTTAATCTGGGGGAAAATGCTACTTGTTCCATAAGAAAAAGTGGAAAAAATGTGGATATATTTTTTTCAGAAATATTAATCACTGTTGCACAATAAAACAAGTAATTGCATTTCCAAATGATAACTTATTCACATAGACCTGTTCGTTATTATGCAATGATACAGTATTTTCTATTAAAAAACTATTCAACTGAATTTAGGTTTTGACTAAGAAGTTCTTCCTGTTAAATTTTAATTTCTGGAAACAAGGACAAAATTTCCAGTGGCCATAGAGGAAGTTCAGGAGACTATCTGTCTCACATGTAAATGAATTTGAGTGTCTTGCACTAAATCTCATTGAATAAAAATTAAATTATAGAATCTCCAGCTACTTCTCAATTTTAAATAGTTTCAAGAAAAGCAAAACAAATAAGAAACTAAGAAGAAAAAACACTTGTTAAAATCAGTTAGACTATAGAATATTGTGAAGCAATTAATTTTTCTTTAGGAACATAATCCACTAATATTTGCTTACCTTTAAAAACATACATATGTCCCATGTAGGCCGCATGTGTTATTAACAAATCTGCTTCGTTAGCTAAAGCTTTCACTCAAATACAGCATTCCCATATAAGAAGCAAATTAGAAGCATTTTTCTTAAATCTCACAACCCTTTCTATTTTGTTTGACTGTGCAGAAACTAAAAGTATCTTTCTAAATGCCAACATCACTTTCTGAATATCTATGCCAAAACTAGTTTCCCTAAGCATTCTTAAAATATTCCTTTATGCTCCTATAAAGGGAGAGAACCACTTGTAGGGAACAATTAATCTAATCTTAAAATAGAAAGAACAATTTGCTTCCTAAAAATGCCTCTTTGTTTCACTTGGAGGAACTATAAAGTGATTTTAGAGAGAGCATCTCAGATGTAAACTCCTATATTACAGACAGCTAAAGTTAGGTGAGATGGTTTTTACTCTAAGTATCAGTATAAATAGCTGCATCACCATTTATAGCTATGCATACATAGCCAGTATACTTAAGTTTAGGTATATTAAATACCCACCTCACGAAATTACAGCATTTAGATGAGAAAGTTGTGGTAGTTTTGTAGCAAAACAACTTTCTAAATTACTTTGATATAAAGTTGTAAAAGTGCAGTTTGGGTTCTAAATTTCCTTTTTTTTTTTTTTTTCTTTTTTCGTCCTGCTTCCTTAATCCGTAATGTTGCAAATCTCATTAAAAAAAAAAAAAAATAAAAAAAACAAAAAAAAAAAAAAAAAACCACAACAAAACAAACCAACGAACAAACAAAACACTTGAAATATCAGTGCAGTGAAAGAATTTAGTCACTAGATCATAAGCGGTAGATAAAAGCGTATATACAATACATGCAACATACAGTACACACAACCCATATATAACCCTCACATACACATGCATGTAAAAAAGATGTAGTATATGCATTCCACATGAAATCGTATTGCCGTGCTGAAGCCTGATCTATATACATCCTTAATTGCTTGAATTGAAGGCTTTGAAAGCATTAGAGGATAATCAAAGACAGAATTGAAACTAATGACGTTGAAAGGCAAAATTACAGTTGTTTGACAACATTAAGCAGTTGTAATGATCTGAGTCATTTCAAATGTTTACTGAATTTCTGAACATCCTGTGTCTGAAACTCTGTCCCTTCCTTCTTCTGACCTTCTCTCCTTTTATTTTTCCAGCAAATTCTATAGAATTCCCTGAGAACTTTAAAATCTTTTCATCATTTTAAACCTGACTTTCACATTCCTTAAATATAATCAGGTCTTGAGCTTTTAGAAATTTCTAAGTGGGCCTACATCTCTCAAGGTACCAGCTATTCTAACTTCATCTACTCATTATAGTACAACATTAATTTATTACCAGATTTCCCAGTGAGCTCGTTGTAACCATTCTACCATTATCTCCCTAGGATTCCTTGCATGACCATTGTTCCCTCTTGCCCTAAAAGAAAACAGGTCAGAAGCAGTATCTGATCTTGTTCCTTAATACTTTTCTTACCTTTTGCTTTGTCCAAATTCTGCCTTTTTTCTTTCTTTTTTTTTCTTTCACTTCCTTTTTTTTTTTTTTTTTTTTTTTTTTTTTTCTTCTTCTCTATTAATGCTTATTACGTAGTATTCAGTTGTGGTTTCCTTCCTGTGATTTTCACATGCAAGTCTTGAAAATTGGGCTATTTTTAATATATAAATAGGAACTGCATTATTTCTGATGACAGAAGTGAAAGTCAGTTCTCCACCAAAGTAAGACTACACAAATTATGTTATTGGATATTAAAGTCTTAAATGATATTTTGTGAATTATTACTTTATTACATAATATATTTTGATCTGGAATTCCCTGTACATGAATAGACAATTTTCTACATGCCTATGAACTAATTAGTTTTGTATTTCAAAAGATTGTCCTTTCACTTAATTTCTCGATGCTGTTCAGACTATGAGAAGGCTTACTGTAAATATAGATGTGCACAAAGCTTTGAAAGTGGATCAGTTTTCAAAGATTGTCACATATCAGAATCTATGTATAGAGATGTTGTACAGAATTTTACACTTCAGATGCACCTACCAAATCCACATCTTTTATTTTAGATGCTATATTTTTTTCCCCCCATAATACAGTCCTCTGCTTCACTGCTTCACTGACTATTGTGTTGCTTCTTGAATGTCTAGAATCCTGTAAAATGGCGAATGATAAACTGACCAGATCTTCATTCAACTGCAGACTGGTTTGGGGTTTTTTTTGTCCTAGAAGCAACAGTCTCACAACAGTACATGTGGTGTAGAACCATAGTGCACAGACACAGTATATGTCATAACTATATTATCTTCATAAGTTATCTCTTCACAGTAAGTTTGTGACAGCATGTATCTAATTAACTACTTGTAGGCTTACAGTTGTTCTTGTCAGTTCTGGAATGTTTAGAGGATTTTTTTTATTTTTTTTTTCTACTATTGCTATTTAAATTGCAGTGATTTGAAGCAAAATCCATCTAAAATCTAGATGATAGGTTAACATAAAACACAATTTCTAATGGAGTAGTTTTAGATTTAATTGTGATATTATGGTTTTAGC